GCGTCCAGGGACCTTGGGGAGTGCAGATTCCTTCCTGGGCCTCACCTGCCTGCCTGGTATCTCCTGAGAGCACAGATTCCCTGTGTTCCCCACAGTGCCTGGCACCTGGGGGTGGGGGGCTTAGTAAATATTTTTTGGTAACTGGGGATGTTTCCTGTTCAGACCTGGAGGATTTCCTGTAGTTCTGTCAGATGCTGGCTGTGAGTCAGCCTCGTGGAGAGTGAGTGCAGCGGGCGGGGTTTGAGATTCCCTCACCCCGCCCCCCACCCCAGCACTCTGGAGGCCTAGTGCAGATGTGCTGCAAGCTCTAGGGAGGTAATATGGCCGGTGGACAGGACTTGGGTTAGAGGTGGAGGGGCTTGAGTTCTGCCCCAGCTCTGCCCCCGTTGGTCTTGGTAACCCGGCAGGTTCCTGAATTTCTGAGCTCAGCTTGGCAAGTTCATTTCCCCATCTGCAACACGGAGCTAGGGTGTCCCCTGAGGAGCTTGCCTAGGGGCAAAGATGAAAGGAAATAAAGGGTCTGATAACAGTAAGCAGCTCCTCACATCTGAGGTTAGGCCTGCAGAGACAGTGGAGCAGGAGCTCAGTTCAGACCTGGGAACAAATCCTAACTCCATCACTGCCCTTGCATCCTTGGATACTTTTGTGACCCTCAGTTTCCTCATGTGTAAAATGGGAGTGAAGTCCCTTCCTCCCTGGTTGTAAGGATTATATTCAGTTCAGTCGTTCAATCGTGTCTGACTCCTTGCGACCCCATGGACTGCAGCACGCCAGGCCTCCCTGTCCCATCACCAGCTCCTGGAACTTACTCAAACTCATGTCCTTCAAGTCAGTGATGCCATCTAACCATCTCATCCTCTGTCGTCCCCTTCTCCTCCCGCCTTCAATCTTTCCCAGCAAGGATGATATAAAATGATGGATATAGATGGTCCAGAACATAGGAGATGGTAAATTTGAGGTCACTGCTATTTCTTTCCCCTGAAGGGGGCCGACAGAGCTGGGTCCCCCCACCCCCACTGTCTCTGAGCTTGTGCCTGCTTGTCATCTGGGGTAGGCTGACAGCTTTCTTCATGGGTCACCTGTTTTCCAGAAAGTGCAGTGGGAGGCCTGCCTGAGCATGGACCGCCCGCCAGTGCAGGCAGTTCCTGACCTTTGTTCCTCCCCTGAAATGTGTCTGGGCAGCTTCCCAGGAGGCCCTGAAGAGCACAGGGGGTGGGCGCAAGAGGCAGGCTCTGCTTTCCCTCCCCCCGGGGCCCCCTTGCCACCTGTATCCTGTGGGCTCCCTGAGGCCTCCTTCCCGGGGAACCAGCCAGTTCCTGCTCCCTGAACATGTACCGTGTCTGGTGCTGCAGCTGGGCTTCCCTGTGGGGCTGGTCTCCCATCTGGACCACACCCTCAGGTCTCTGTCCTCTGTTCTGACTTCCTTCAGCCTGCTTTCCACACAGCAGCCAGAGGAAGCTTTTACCAGGACTCCCCTGTGGGAAACCCTTCAGCAAATTGCCCTTTCCTGTGACCTGTGAGATCTCCCTGCCCTCCGCCTGCCTAACTCTCTCTCTGGCCTCATCTCTCACCAGCTGATTCAGACACTTAATGCCCGAATGTCCCCCTGATAGGAGACTTGTCCTTGTCCCTTCCCCCTGCTGACTCCTCCTCTAGTTTCTCCTGAGAGGGAACCTCTCCTACCTTCTTGTAACCATTGTCAGCTCTTCAGCTTCTGGGGGCTCCAGGTGTCCCTTGCGGTCACCTCACTTTCACCTGCTGCCGTGGTCCCGGTGCTGCTTCCTCTCATGTGTGTCTCTCAAAACTCTCTGCCTCCCTCATGAGGGAAAAGGGGATTGGGTGTAGGGCCCACCCAGATATGCAGAAGGCAATGGCAACCCACTCCAGTACTCTTGCCTGGAAAATCCCATGGATGGAGGAGCCTGGTAGGCTGCAGTCCATGGCTTCGCGAAGAGTCGGACATGACTGAGCAATTTCACTTTCACTTTTAACTTTCAATCATTGGAGAAGGAAATGGCAACCCACTCCAGTGTTGTTGCCTGGAGGATCCCAGGGACAGCGGAGCCTGGTGGTCTGCCGTCTGTGGGGTCGCAGAGTCAGACACAACTGCAGCAACTTAGCAGCAGCAGCAGCCACCCAGATAATCCAGGAAAAACTCCTCAAGATCTTTCATCCCATCTTTTGCCCTGTATGAAAGTCTATGTTCTGGGGATTAGGATATAGCTGTCTTTTGGGGGGCTCACCATTCAGCCCCCTGCACCAGCTGCAGGGGCTGGGGAGGGCACTCCTCCCTCTTGAAATCGGCTCACCTCTCACCTTCTGCAGCCTGCACGCTCCTGGCTTCCCTTCCATCTCTCTGGCAGCTCTTCTCCAGTCTCACACGCTTCTGTAAGCCACTGGGCACTGGTGCTTGCCCAGGCTTCCTTTCCTGCTCTTTCCTCTACATTCCCTCCCTGGGGGAGCTCATTGAAGACCACAGCCTTCATAGTCCTACTCACAGCTCCAGCCTGGATCTCTCTGGGAGCTCCAGACCTGCACAGACGCTGGCTCAGTCCAGGTGCACGTGAAGATCTCAGCGGCATCCCCACTTCACATACCCAAGATCACACTGACTGCGCTTCTCTCCCCACGCCTCCACCCCTCCTCCCTGTTCAGAGCTTGACCTCTCCCTGGGCTCTCTGTCTCAGAGGCAGAATCGCTTCTCACCCAGGCCTGACCTGAAACATCCTCCTTGACACCCCTTTCTGTCCACCTGGCATGTCGGCCTCACCATCCCAGTCCAAGACACCATCATCATTCAAAAACTTGACTGCAGCTGTCTCTAGCTAGGCATTGCCCTCTTCAGCATCAAACCCATGTCTCTGTCACTCTCAGATCAGAACCCAATCCTCCTTGTGTCCCTACAGCCTCTCCAGTCCCACCAGTGCTCCCCTCTCTGGACCTGTGTTCAGTCCTTCTCACACCATATTCTACTCCCACTGCATGGCCTTCGTACATGCTGTTCCCTCTGTCTAGGTGCTCTTCCAGCCTTCCTGCTCACCCCCGCTTTTGCCTGTTGCTGTTCAGTCTCTAAGTCATGTCCGACTCTTTGATACCCCATGAACTGCAGCACACCACGCTTCCTTGTCCTTCACCATCTCCTGGAGTTTGCTCAAACTCATGTCCATTGAGTCAGTGATGCCATCCAACCATCTCATCCTCTGTTGCCCCCATCTTCTCCTGCCCTCAATTTTTCTCAGCATCAGGGTCTTTTTTAGTGAGTCAGCTCTTTGCATCAGGTGGTCAAAGTATTGGAGCTTCAGCATCAGTCCTTCCAATGAATATTCAGGGTTGATTTCCTTTAGGAAATCTCATCCTTAGCTCTTAGCTCAACCTCTGCTTTCTCTGGGAAACCATCATCAGCCCTCTAGCTGAGTGAGTTCTTTTGTTTGTTACCTCTTTGGTAGGTCTGTGTTCATGCCTCCCAGGAGCTGACTTGGCTTGTGACTGTGCATTCACCAGTGTGACATTTACTTAACGTCTGTCTCTCTTGCTGGACTGTAAGCCTCATGGGACCAGGACTCCTCCAGTGCAGAGAATGTGGGTTGGATCCCTGGTCAGGGAGCTGAGATCCCACTTGCCTTGTGGACAAAAAACCCAAAACATAAAAGAGAGGCAATATTGTGATAAATTCAATAAAGACTTAAAAAAAAGAAGAAGAAAGAAACTGGAGGCTCAGAGAGGTGAGGTCACCTGTCCAAGGTCAAACAGCTGGTTGGCAGTTCCCTGCCCTTCAGTGTTCCCAGCGCAGAGTACTTTTCGAGAATCCAATCTACTTTTGGCTGAGTGGGCATTCAATTCATCTTGTCGGGGAATCCAGCAACTCACTGGATGCAGAGTCTGCGACAGAGTCGGTTCTTTGTCGGCTGAATGACTTCCGGAGAGATCTGATTACTCTGATATCCTGCTGATGGGGGGCTTGGCGGCCCTGGCCCTGCTGGCCCCCTGGGGGCCCCAGGCTGGGTTTCCCACACAGGAGACAGCTCATGTGGGTGCTCCCAGGATGCCCTTGGGCCAGTGGGTCCCTGGCTACTCCCTCCCCAGCCAGGGTGACCACTTCTTGTCCAGACTCCCAAGTTCCAGAGAAGGCCCCACCCTGGTAGATATGTTTATTAAAAAATGGTCTGAGTCTCTCCCTGGCTGGGGAAAAGCTCTTCCAGAGAGATGGCAGTTGCTTCCCCACCGTCTCCCAGCACCTGCTCTGCTTTTCTTAACATCCTGTGCGAAAGACCCTGGCCGAGAGGCAGGGGCTCTTGCCCATAGGCTGAACCTGCCACCCTTTAAAATCCTTAAATTGTTCTTAGACAGGGAGGCAGTCTTTTTGGCTGTTGAGGAAACAGGCTCAGAGAGCTCAAGTGTCTTGTCTAAGATCACACAGCCAGAGAAGAGGCAGAGCTGGGAGTCCAGTCTGATGAGCTGGCCCCCAAATCCCTGTCTGTAAGCTCTTTGCTTTGGGTCCCGAGTGTCGTTGGTGGGGATGAGCATACGGGATACGATCACCAAGATAGCCAAGTAGTTAGTGCCCTTTCTGGGGTTGTGGGAAGATCTTTTAAGAAAAAACAAAAACTTTAGTTTGTATTGGAGCATAGCCAATTAGGGCTTCCCAGGTGGTGCTAGTGGTAAAGAATCCACCTGCCAATGCAGGATACGTTAGAGACTCTGGTTCAACCCCTGGGTTGGGAAGATTCCCTGGAGGAGGGCATGGCAACCCACTTCAGTATTCTTGCTTGGTCTTCCCTGTGGGGAAGCGACTTGGAACACAAGGGGAGAATGGATATATGTATGTGTATGGCTGAGTCCCTTTGCTGTCCTCCTGAAACAAACACATCGCGTTCCAAGTCGCTTCAGTCATGTCCAGCTCTTGGCAACCCCATGGACTATAGCCCACCAGGCTCCTCTGTCCTGGGTTCTCCAGTTTATGGGTGTTTGTGTTCTCTCTTTTCCCCTCTGCGCCCTTGCAGGTAGAACTGCATGTCCACCTGGATGGCGCTATCAAGCCCGAAACCATCTTATATTATGGCAGGTAAGTCCACAGATAAGAGGCCTTCTTCCCCAGGAGGCCTCTGGAGAGTTCCACGTTGTTTGGATTGACTTACTGAAATCTCGTGACAACTTATGAGATGGGTATATTATTGTCCCCAATGTACCAGCAAGGAAACCAAGTCAGGGTTGGGGAAGTGAGTTGTGATGTAAACAGGTGTGATCCTGAGTCCATGCCCCTGACCATTGCCCCAGTGAGCTGGAGGTTTCGATGAAGTATTGCACAAAAACTACTTAGCTGAGGGCAAGCATGCTAAGTGCTCCATAAATGTCACTTTATGATGATATTACTATTATTAATTATAACCTATGGTTCTGACTAAGTGGGGTGAAGCCACTGGGCTTATCTCTGCCTGTCCATTGCCCAATGTCAAGTACCAGCTGTTGGCACAGGGCCCCTAATGAGGCCATTAGGGTGGGTTAACCAGGTACCCAGATGGGATCTAATCGCAGGCACCCACTGAGGGGTCATATCACGCTCATTAGTGGAGCAAGAATCTAAGAGCGTCCAGGGCAGGTTAGAAGGAGGAGGAAAGGGAGGAGCCCTTGTAGGGCAGCTGGTTGGGTTTTCTGTTTCCCACGTCCGCTTGGCATCCTGGGAACCATCTAGGCACTTCTTTGGGCTCTAGAGAAGGGGTGTGGGTTTGATCCAGCTGGAGTTTGATCGTGAGGTTCGCAGGCAGGGGACCGGGGAGTCAGTCAGACTGGGATATGGACAGAACATGCTGGAGGCCTCCCTGGTGGGGTGGGCTGGGGCTGAGAGGGGGAAGCATGGGTGTGTCTGGTCTGATGCCTCCTCCACCCCAGCCAAATCCAGTGGCCTTTTACCTGCCCTGTGACTTGAGCCTTCGTTGACTGTGTTCTCACCTGTTTCTTTCTCTTTTTTTTTTGGCTCCCATGCCACATGGTTTGCAGGATCATGGTTCCCTGACCGCCCTCGGCAGTGAGACTAGAGAGTCCCAACTCCTGGACCACTAGGGAATTCCCTCACCTGTTTCTTCTTATTCTATCTTGTCTCTGGGAGCTTTAATTTCTTTCTCAATCTCCTTCCTGACTTTGCCACTCTTCTCCAAAGCCCATTCTGAATCTGACCACTGTCTCTTCCCTGTCACCATCCTGGTCTGAGCCATTGGACTATTGCCACGACTTCCTGACTGGTCTCCAGGTGTCCACCCTGACCTCCCCCATCTACTGTCCCCACAGTACTGGAGTCAGAACAATCATCATAGGACATTGTGCAATTGGTACACTTCCTTGCTCAAACCCTCCCCACTTGCTCGGGGTCAAAGCCAGTGTCCACACATGGCCCTTGCAGTTCTACAAAGCCTGTGTTAATCTCCTTGAACTCTTCTACTACATCTTGGTTAGTTCATGCTAAGTGTTCTCAAACATGCCAGACCTAATAAGCAAAGAATTTGGGTAACTTACCCAAGATCACACAGCCTTTAAATAAGAGCTGGGATTTAAACCCAGGTCATTGGACTTGAGAGTCTGCCATCTTTCCTTGGACACACAAATAGTCTCATTTGTTCTTTCCTGTACCTTGAAAAGAAAGTGTGATCTGTGTTTTACTGACAAGGATGTGGAGGTCCTCAGGGGGACAGCTCCTGCCCAGGGTGTCTTGGCTCCTACTGGAGGAGGATGGACTTTGAACACCAAAGCCTGTGTTCATCCTCTTTATTGGGTTCTTATTCCTCTTGTTCAGTTGCTCAGTCATGTCCAGCTCCCTGTGACCCCATGGACTGCAGCCCTCCAGGTCTCCCTGTCCCTCACCATCTGCCAGAGTTTGCCCAGCTTCATGTTCATTGCATCGGTGAGGCTGTTCAGCCTTCTCATCCTCTGATTCCCTCTTCTCTTTCTGCCCTCAATCTTTCCCAGCATCAGGGACTTTTCCAATGGGTCATCTATTTGCATCAGATGACCGAAATACTGGAACTTCAGTTTCGGCATCAGTCCTTCCAGTGAATATTCAGGGTTGATCTCCCTTAAGATTGACTGGTTTGATCTTGCTGTCCAAGGGACTTTCAGGAGCCTTCTCCAGCACCACAGTTGGAAGGCATCAATTCTTGGCATTCTGCCTTTTCTTCCGTCCAGCTTGAACAACCATATGTGACCACTGGAAAGACCATAGCCTTGACTATACAGATCTTTGTGGGCAGAGTAATGTCTCTGCCTTTCAACACACTGTCTAGATGTGTCATAGCTTTCCTGCCAAGAAGCAGTTGTCTTCTGATTTCATGGCTGCAGTCCCCGTCTGCAGTGATTTTGGAGCCTAAGAAGAGGAAATCTTCTTGGCTCTTAGTGTATCTCAACACCAAGCAAGGCAGAGAATTTTGAGCCACAACCAGGGCATGACCGTGGCTGACTGGGGAGCCATCTAAGAACTGAGCTTGGCCCTCGGTGGAGAGAGGTTTGGCTGCCGTGAGTGGCTGTGGGTGGCAGGGGAAAGTGAAAGTGTTAGCCACTCGGTTGTCGTGTCTTGACTCTTTGTGACCCCACTGACCGTATGCAGCCCTCCAGGCTCCTCGGTCCATGGGATTCTCCAGGCAAGAATACTGGAGTGGGTTGCCATGCCCTCCTCCAGGGGATTTCCTGACACAGAGATCCAACCCGGGTCTCCTGCATTGCAGGTGGATTCTTTACTGTTTGAGCCACCAGGTGGGAAGGGACCTAGGAACAGTTCTTTCCTGTCTCAACCTTGGGTCCCAGGGAGGAGTTTTGCATCTTAGTCCAGCAGTTTCCAGAGGCCCAGTCCCCTGAGCGGTGCTGGACCGTCTCCTAGGGGACCACTGCAGCAGCTCTGGCTTCTGCCCTGGTTTTCCTCTGTTCCCCACACCCCAGCCAGGAGAAGCTCTTTAAAAAGTACATCTTTGCATGTCACCCCCTTGCTTAGAATCCTTCAGTGGCTTCCCAGGGCTTTCAGGATAAGGTCCCAGCTCCTATGAAGCCCCCGTCTGGCCCTGCCTGCCCCTTGGTTCATCTACCACTGGCCCCGCTCTGATCTGCAGCTGCCCTGCTCTGGAATTTTCTCATTGCTTTTTCCTGGAGCTCTAGCAGGGCTCTGATCCTACCTGCCTGTATCTCTTTCTGCTCCCTCAGGGGAAAAGGACAATCTCACTCTTTGCTTAACTGTCACCTCCTCCAAAAAGCCTTCCCAGGTCACTCTACCTGTGGGGCAAAAAGATCTCTCTTGGGTGGCTGTGGAGAAGAAGAGACTAATGGGAGAAATATTTAGGATGAAATAACTGGGGCTTGGGGACCAGCTGTTGATGAGTAAGGGAGATGGCATCTGGGGGAGGCTCCTGACTCAGGTTCAGGCAACTGAGTGTGTGGAGGAGTGTGTGCGTGCTAAGTTGCTTCAGTCATGTCCGATTCTTTTGCGACCCCATGGACTGTAGCCCACCAGGCTCCTCTGTCCCTGGGATTCTCCAGGCAAGAACACTGCAGTGGGTTGCCATGCCCTACTCCAGGGGACCTTCCCAATCCAGGAAGCGAATCTGTGTCTCTTGTGTCTCCTGCATTGGCAGGTGGGGTCTTTATCCTAACTAGCGCCAGGAAGGATGAGCCACATTAGGAAATGTGGAGCCTAGGAGAGGGTGGGGCTTGGGGGAGGCACAAAGGGGGTGGTCAGACACAAGAGTCGCCTTGGTCTTGGCTATCTATCCAGGGCCAGCACACTGTGGGTCCTCAGATGGCAATGGGAAGAGGGAGAAGATTGAAAGCTCTGGATCTGGGACTTCCCTGGTGGTCCAGCAGTTCAGACTCTCCACTTCCAATGCAGGGGGCACAGGCTCGATCCCTAGTCAGGGAACTAAGATTCTCCATGCTATATGGAGTAGCAAAAGAAAAAAAAAAAGTTCTGGATCTCTGGATTGGTCCAGGGGGCCTGTGGCAAATGTGGCCACTGTGTTTGGAAATATGGGAGCTGGTGGCTTAGCCTTACTGTCTCTGCCTTCCACCCACCAGCTCCCAGAAAGATATGCCAAATATAGCATCTAACAACTGGTACGGGCTCTGCAGAGGCCGTGGTGACTGGGGATGGCCTCATGAGGGTGACTTTGAGGCAGGCTGGCCAGCAGGGGAAGGCCCAGGGGGCACTGAGCACCTGACCTTGGTGCCAGGACCACACCATGAGCATCATCTTCCCTGGGAACACCTGGCAGGGATGGAGGCCTGACTAGGAGCTTGAGCACCAGGGTGACCCCTGGTGATACCCACAGGACACTCATGAGGCCTGGGGTCACCTTGAAGTGGAAGAGGACATGTTTAGGGGGATTTAGGGAACAGGTATTTATGTAGAGAAACATTTTAGTATTTTAATAACAAGCTATTAAAAGGACTGCAACACTTTGGTCCATTTTTCATTTCTTTGGCAGTGTCATCCCTTCTGTCTTCTGTTCTTGCTCTGCCGGTCACTGGAGGCCGAACCTCTTGGTTGAATCACTTAATATTCTTAATCATTTGCTTGTATTTTTTATCTTGTCTTTTGTTCTACTTGCAGGAGGATTTTCTCAATTCTATTTTCCATTCCTTTTATATTACATCCCGATGTTCACTGCCCTATTCTTCTAGATCTCCAAAAGCTCTTTCTTCCTCCCTGAATGTCCGCTTTTTAAAAAGGACCGTTCTCGTTTCAAGGATAGAGCATTTTCTCCTCTCCTTGAGGCTGTTCGTTTTAAGGTTTTTAAACTTTCTCTGCCTGTTTGTTTCCTACAGTTCCTTTGATCTCTTGACCCTCATGGGAGAAGCATCTCTTGACTGTCTGGGGTTCTCTGCCTGTTGCTTTTATCTTACAAGTGGAAAAACCGAGGCCTGGGGTCACTCATGGTTGGGGACAGGGCCCAGAAGAGCAGAGAAGTGAGGAAGCCAGCCCAGCATTGCACCCAGTGGGCCCCAGCTGGGAGGAGGCAGGGAGCTCTGCCCTGGAGCAGAAGGGCTGTTCTCAGCCAGCCTGTACTGAGCGGCCACGTGTGGGGGGCTGTGGGCAGGGAGGGGAGAGAGCTGGGGAGGCCCCGGTGCTCTGCCAGGACAATGGGCCGGGCCAGCCTCTCTGATGTGCCGGCCACCAGAGGGTGGGGTGGGGAAGTCCGGCGCCGGCCCCTGCCCCGGGCATTGTGTGCTGCAGTTCTTGCCCCTGATAACCCTTGACCCGGCACAGGATCAGCTATCTCTACAGTGAGCTTGCCCTTGCACGTTACATGTTCCCAGGCACCCGTGTGTGTGTGTGTGTGTGTGTGTGTGTGTGTGTTCATGTGTTAAATGGGCTTTAACACCAGTTGTCTTCCTTGAGATTTGTTGGCTGGTCATGGCTTCGGTGACAGGAGGTCCTGGAAGGATTTGGATCCTGGTTCTATACGCCCTGGGCCTCAGTTTTCCCATCTGTCCAATGAGAGGAGCTGGATACCTGCACCCTGTGAGGAACTGGTAGGGTCCTGCCCAGGGTTATCCACCATCCTCATTGTTTTGTCCCCAGGAAGAGGGGCATCCCCCTCCCCGCCGACACACCAGAGGGGCTACAGAACATCATCGGCATGGACAAGCCACTCAGCCTCCCAGGCTTCCTGGCCAAGTTTGATTACTACATGCCTGCCATCGCGTGAGTCTTCCCACCCCGCAGGCCCTGGGCAGCGTCATGCCATGCTGCCGGCTCCCAGCCTGCACGCCTCAGCCTGTGGGGCAGGGGAAGGCACTGGGCCACCCTGCTCTACCTCTCAGCGTTGGCTGCACTCCTGCTGCAAATCTCCCATGCCTTTGGGCCTTGGTTTTCCCTTCTGGAAAGTGGGTGTGATGGGCTGAAACTCCTCTCCTTCCACAGCGAAGTGACAGAATGTGGGGGGTTGAGAACACAGATCCTAGTATCAGAATCTTTCATGAGATAATTGCGACACTGGGGAGATTTGCCCTCTCTGGGCCTCAGTTCTCTCATCTAGACTACAGGGCTTATGACCCTCTCCCTCCCAGGCTGGGGTTTGGAATGGACACAGCACTGTCCTCAGCAAGCTCCCTGTTACTATGAGGACAGTTGCTACCTTTATTGATAGCCAGGCACTGCTGATTTGATGTTACTTTTCATTCCTTCCATTTTTAAATTTATTTTTCATTCCTTCCATTACAAAAAAAATAGACTCTCTTAGATATAGAAGAAGGTAATGTGTACAGCTCACAGAACTGTCCTCTTTGTAGTTGTTCACAGTCCTGAGAACTGGACCCCCTCCTCGTTGGCTCAGGAAAGTTGAAGGACCCTACTCAGGACTACAAAGCTGGCAAGGGGCAAATCCCAGATTCTTGTCCTGGTGTCACCTAGAGCTTCCTGGCATGAAGCAGTTTCCCAAGGCAGGCGATAACTGGGCCTTGGCAGTCAGTGCTGCCGGAGATCAGAGGGGGATGAAGTGGAGGGGGCTGGAGGAGGCAGGGAAGGCTGCCTGGAGGAGGAAGTATGGACAGATCCTTGGGAGGGAAAGGTGTGCTATTGTCCAGAGGGCTGGACCTAAGGAAAGTTCTGGAGAACAAGCTGTTGGAGGACCAGTGAGGAGGGTGTGTGAGTCGGATAGAAGCCCTTGGCTGCGTAAGTGGCAGGACAGGAATGAGGAGTCCTGGGGAAGGAAGGAAGATGTGTGCCAAGGCTGCTGGCTGCTTTCTGGAAGCTTCTGGACTCAGCCTGGAGGGCCCCAGGGACCCCATCCTTGGCCCATCAGTAGCTGCTATGGTACACATGCTGCCTCCCCCTGGACGCCCCGCACCAGGACACATGGATGGGCAGAGCTCATATACAGGCCGAGGTGCCTATCCTGCGCTGCTACCAGCTCCCGTCTCTTGGCCACAAGACAGAAGAGAGCCAGTTTCCTGAAGGCTTAAGGCAGTTTTGATTTGCATTTCCTTGGTGATTAGTGACGTCAGGCACCTTCTCGTGTGCCTGTTGGCCATGTGTATGTCTTTTGACAAATGTCTATTCAGGTCCTCTATTTTCTAAAACTATTTATTTATTTGGCTGTGCTGGGTCCTAGTTGTGGCCTGTGGGACCAGTTCCCTGACCAGGGATCGAACCTAGGCCCCCTGCATTGGGAGCACAGAGTCTTAGTCACTGGACCAACAGGGAAGTCCCCCTTTGCCTATTTCTTTTTTTCAATCAGTTTTTGTGTTGTTTGCTTTGCTGTTGAGTTGTAGGACTTCCTTCCACATTCGGGGCATTAGCCCCTTACCGCATGTGTGGTTTGCGAACACTTTCTCCCATTCGGTAGGCTGCCTGTCACTCTGCTCCTGTTTCCTTTGCTGCGTGGAAGCGCTTCAGTTTGGTGCAGTCCCCCTCCTCTGGTTTTGTTGTTGCCTCTGTGTGTCCTTTTCTCCTATTTCTCCTCCCTGCTGGCCTACATCTGTCACTCAAGAAATATTTCAGCGGCTGCAGTGTCCGAGACTCTGTCCTCGGCTGAGGGATCGTAGCCATGACAAGACAGAAGGGTCCTTGTCTCACAGAGACTTTGTTCTAGGTTGGGGAGGTGAAACCCAGCTAATAAAGAAACCACATGATCTGTCATGTCAGCTGGCGATAAGTGGCAGGGAGAAAACTGAAGCCCAGGGGAGGGGGCTGGAGACGGGCTGTTTTAAAATGAATTGGCCAGGGAAGGCCTCCCTGAGGAGGTGAGGCTGGAGCCGGGCTCTCAATGGAGGGAGCAGGGAGGACAGGGTGATCCGAGGAGGAGCCTGCAGGCCAGGGAGCTGCAAACACGAAGGCCCCGACCTGCGAACTAGCTTGACTGTTCACTGGGTGGAAAGGCGGCCCTGGAGGCCTCAAGGAAGGAGCGGGGAGGTTGGCAGGGATAGGATTATGCAGGCCTTGTGGGCGGGGTCTCAGAGTTGACATTTCCTCTATGAGGTGGGATGCCATTAGTGTTTAGAGTGAAGGAGCGACACTTTTACTTTTGGCAGCATTGGGTCTTAGTTACAGCACTCAGGATCTTTCATGGTGTGACGTGAGATCTTTCGTTGAGGTGCGGGACTCTAGTTGTGGTGCAGGGTCTCTCTAGTTTGGTGCAGGACTCTCTAGGTGAGGTGCGGGGTCCCTCTAGTTGCAGCACGTGAACTTAGTTGCCCGGCAGCCTGTGGGATCTTGGTTCCCTGACCAGGGATTGAACCCTGGTTCCCTGAACTGCAAGGCAGATTCTTACTGTACCAGGGAAGTCCCAGAGCAGTGTTCTTTGATTTCCGTTTTTAAAAGACTGCAGTAGCTGCTGTACCCGGGCAAGTGTGGAGATGGAGAGGCTGGTGAGGTGGTCGAACTGGGCTGGAGGGGGCGAGGATTGGCATCGAGTTGGGAAGCAGAGCTGACAGGATGTGCTGGGCTTCTAGGATCTTCTCCAGTTGAGGCCCAGAGCTTGTGGCTGGGGGATGAGAGATTGGGAGCCCCACGTGGGTTTGGTCTGCCATGGGTTGGGGACAGCTTTGTCACTCCTGGAGCTCCCAAGGGGCCTGGGGAAGGTTGTCTCGAAGTCCTCTCTTCCCTTCCCAGGGGCTGCCGGGAGGCCATCAAAAGGATTGCCTATGAGTTTGTGGAGATGAAGGCCAAGGAGCGCGTGGTGTATGTGGAAGTGCGCTACAGCCCGCACCTGCTGGCCAACTCCAAGGTGGAGCCAATCCCCTGGAACCAGGCTGAGTGAGTGACCCAAGGAGGGTCATGGTGGGGTAGCCTGGCCGGGCCTGGGGCCGAGGGGCACACTGGCAGCTCTGGCCCACACAAGACTTTGATCTTGCATCCTGAGCGGGTCCGCAGCCTCAGCAAGATGGGCCTGACTCTGCCATGAGGGACGTGGTCCCCATCCCTCACCCAGGCTTCTGGTCTTACCTTGGGCAGAAGCGTTTGGCTGTGTCTTGCCATCCGTAGTCCCGGGCACAGGCCTGTGGTCTAGGAACGTGAACTTGCATATCCAGTGACATCTAAGGGTCACTTCCTCACCCAGTAGCTGAAGCGATATGACCCATTCTTGCCCCTTCTGCCTAGACCCCAGGGATGACCCCCGTGGTACCTCTCAACCGCCTTGCCCCCTTCTAGCCATGACTCTGACTTGTGGACAAGTGGGAATCAGAACACCTTAGCTTAGCAGAGCTCTTCATCTTGAGTAGGGGGCTGTCTGATGACCCCCCAAGTTGGGACAGCACTTCCGGGTCTGAAAGCCCCCCAGACAGACCCAAGGAAGATGGAAGGGGGTGTCCTAGGCCTTGGGGCCGTCTCCCTTGGCCTTTCCGCAGAGGCAGTGGGTTAGTGGGGCTGAGGGCTTCTCCTGGAAGACCCCTCCTTCCTCTCTCTCCTCCCTCTTCCGTCCCAGCCTCTGTCCTTTACGCCTGCCTTTGTCTCGGGCCCACGCCTCTCTTCCCCACACACAGAGGGGACCTCACCCCGGATGAGGTGGTGTCGCTGGTGAGCCAGGGTCTGCAGGAGGGGGAGCGGGACTTCGGCGTGAAGGTGCGGTCCATCCTGTGCTGCATGCGCCACCAGCCCAGTGAGTGTGACCCCGGCCCCGGCCGCCCATCTGATGCCACCACCGTGACCTGGTCTCCTCTGTGTCTCCCCACCCCCACCCCACAGTCTCCCTTGAAACCATCAGCTGGACCGTGGTGGGGCTTCCTTCCGGGCAGGCTCAGAACTTCCTGCAACAGACTTGGCTCCCCAGGGAGTCTGAGCCTGAGGGCCATGTGACCTGCAGGAGGCTCAAAACCAAGGGAGCCTGCACAATAGAGACGCCTAAGCCAGGTTCCCATCAGTGCGCAGTCCCCGCTGGAGACTCTGTGGGCTGTGCCCCCTCCTGTCGGAGCTGCGGAACTTGGGACTAGGGTCTGAGCTCTGGGGCCTGAAGGGTCTCCCTATGACTCACACTGGTCACATCTCCAGGGCTTGTGCTTCCAAGGCTGGGTGACTCTGGCCAGATCACATCACCTCTCTGGACTTCAGATACGCCTTGTCACAGGAGGTGACCGTACTCACCCTATTCTCTGCCCTACGGAGGAGTGAGACCTCAGTGAGGGGCTGATGTCAACCCACAGGGCCTCCCTGGACAGAGTGGCTCGTATTCTCTCTAATCCTCACAGGGGCCTAAGAGGCAGGACCAATTTGACATTGGCGGTTGATAAATTCAACCACCATTTATCCCCATTTGACAGATAACGAAACTGAGGTAGAGGCTCAATCAGCAAAGCACAAAGCCCGGATCAGAAGCCAGGGCCATCTGGTTGCAGAGTCTGTGGTGTGGTTCATTCTTTACGATGACCTCACTGGTTGCAAGTGTGTAGTAGTTAGGAATACGTTTAGTAACACGAGTGTGAGTTACGTTTCAGGTTTAAATGTTAACCTGTGTGGACCTCCAGCCCCTCTGCTGAGTTGACATGGGTGTCGGGGATTGAGAAAGAGAACTGCCTTTTGTCCTTTACTGAGCCCAGGCCCTGCCCTCAGGGTGTCAGCCACGGGGCCTTGGCAAAAGCATCCCTGTGACCTTGTGCCCACAGTGGGTGGCGTCCGCTCTGTGAGGAGGGGACGCTGAGGCCCGGAAGGCTGTGGAGTCAGGCCTGGAAGACGGGACCCGGGGCCCTCTGCCTTGCGCTGGCCTTGAGTGGGAGGCAGGGGTGTGTGGGGTAGGAGGTCTTTCTCCTCCACGCTGCTGCCAGAGGCCCGGCGGGCATCTCGCCCACAGGCTGGTCCTCCGAGGTGGTGGAGCTCTGTAAGAAGTACCGAGAGCAGACTGTGGTGGCCATTGACCTGGCTGGAGATGAGACCATTGAAGGCAGCAGCCTCTTCCCTGGACACGTGCAGGCCTACGCGGTGGGTCCTGGGGAAAGGAGGTCAGGGAACTGCAGGCATGGGGAAGCCACATGCAGGGAGCTTATCTCCACCCTAGTAGGGCTTGGTCATGTGGACCGGGGATCCCAAGGCCACCTGGGCTTCCAAGTGTTCTTGACTTGGGTCTAAAGTATTAGTGGCTTAGTCATGTCTGACTCTTTTGCAACCCCATGGACTGAGCCCGCCAGGCTCCTCTGTCCGTGGAATTCTCCAGGCAAAAAGTACTGGAGTGGGTAGTCTTTCCCTTCTCCAGGGGATCTTCTGAACACAAGGATTGAACCCCAGTATCCTGCATTGCAGGCAGATTCTTTACCATCTGAGTCATCAGGGAAACTGTCTAAGGGGCTCTAGAAATTGGAACTCTGGTATGAAGAAAAACCCCACTGGATGCTGGGGGTCCTGTGTTGGAGCCTTTCTGCCTAATGATTTGCTCTGTGACCTTGGGCAAGACGGTCTATTCTCTGGCCCTGTTCCAGCTGGTGGGATGACGGGGTTGAATGGAGCCAACCCCTTAAAACCTCATGACGTCCTTCCTGTGGAAGGGGTGAAGCTTGGGGTGGAGAACAGGAGCTCTGGAGTCTGCCTGGCTTCAGAGCTCAGCCCCCACTTCCTAGCTGTCTGACCTCGGTTGTGATCCCTTGCCCCTCCCTGTAAGACAAGTATCAGCGCAGTTGTGAATGTTACCCTCGGGTATCCAAACCAAGTACAGTGCCTGACACATAACAACTGTCTAATAAATGAGAGCGACCACTTACACGTGGTTACAAAAACAAAACCCACTCAGACCTCCCTTTCTGGAGGCAGGCCAGGCTGACTCAGCCCCAGGGTGCGGTGAAGGCAAGGCCCGCGGGGAGAACCCCAGGCTGCCCCTGAACTTGCCCTTGCCCTTCCAGGAGGCCGTGAAGAGCGGCGTCCACCGCACGGTCCACGCCGGGGAGGTGGGCTCCGCCGAGGTGGTGAAAGAGGTGAGTGGTGCGGGTTGGTGGAGGGGTCCTTCTTCCCACTCCCCCCGCTCCCGAGGCCCACGCTGGGCTCCACGCTGCTTGTCCGCAGGCCGTGGACACGCTCAAGACCGAGAGACTGGGGCACGGCTACCACACCCTGGAGGATGCAGCTCTTTACAACACGCTGCGGCAGGAAAACATGCACTTCGAGGTGAGGGGCCGGGGAGGGGAGGACAGGGAGGCGGTGTAAGTGGGGTGGGGCCAGAGGCCAGGGGGCGGGGTCAGGGGCGTGGGGGCGTGGCCTCGGGCCTAATTGCTGCTAGGTGGGGGGAGAAAACCAGGGCTGACAGGTGTGTGGGACTCAGCTACAAGGCCACTGGCGTGACCAGGGCAAGAATGCTGCCTGGGCAGGTGGCTCTGGATGGGGCCAGGGGAAGGCGGGGAGTGGGGAGTGCGGTCAGCGTGGCCCGGGAGGATGTGGAGGTTCGTGCCAGCCACCCTCCGCCTCTTCCAGGTCTGCCCCTGGTCCAGCTACCTCACCGGCGCCTGGAAGCCTGACACGGAGCACCCGGTTGTTCGGTGAGGCCTGGTCCCACTCAGTTTCTGTTACTAGGAAAGCCAAGGGTGGAAAGGGGGTGCAGACACTGGGCGCTGGCCCCACTGGGTCTCTCGGGTATAGAATCTCTTCCAGTGCTTGGGAAGCAGGAATTATTGTCCTCATCCTACGACAAGTGAGGAATCCAAAGCTTGGATGTGGTGTAATTTGGCCAAGGTCACTCAGCTGTTGGAAAGCAGAGCTGGGGGCCCTATAGCCCCATCCAGCTCTAGCAGAATGCCCTGTTACCCACAAGGGAACATCCACACTCCAGCTTCTGCCTCCTAGCAATGAGGAAGATGAGTCTCTCTTGCCCGCGTGGTCTCTGGGCATTCCCCCAGCACCATCTTGACACTTGCCCCTGGAGTCTGTTCCCCTACCCATCCATCCAGTCCCACCCCATGGCCTTGGCCCTTCTTCAGGGTGTCCTGACAGAAGCCTCAGGAGGGCAAAGCTGACCCAGGAGAAGTTCACCAAGAACTCTGGGTGACCACAGTCAGGCCAGCACTGATGGTCTGTCTGCCAAGATTATGACAAGGAAGGGAGCTTGGGCTCCATTTACAACGGGGGCCCAAAGTCTGCTTTAGAACGTGAAGTGAGCGGTATCTACAGGACTTCCAAGTGGAGGTTCCTGGAGGCACGCGGGTTTACAGTCTGTGGGCTGGAGGAAGACTCGAGTCGTCTGAGCAGACATGGTGTTTGGAGGAGAGGGGAAGCCCTCAGCAGGTGGTGGAGCAGGAGGGCCTAGGAGAGAAACCCGGAAGGACAGTGATACTGAAGGGACGGGCAGGAGGAAAGCCAAGTAGTGGTGTCGGAGAATTCTAGGGAAAAGGTCAACAGTATAAAATTCTGCGATACAAGTCTGGTGAGGTAAGAGCTAGGAAAAGCCCTCTGGCCTCCACAAGATGGCAGTCAGAGACGGTGCCAAGAACAGTTTCCATGGTGGGTCTGAAGAGTCAGATCCCAGTGGGACTGAGGATAGCCGCGGCAGGAGGGGTGCAGACAACTCTTCCAGAGTGGCGGCTATGAAGGGGAAGGCTAGAGAGGGTGGTAGCTGGGGGGGGGGGGGGTTGCTTTTTTAGCCCACCCCAAGCCCCCTTCTACCTGGCTCCTCTCCTGCCTTGAGCTGGCTCTAAGCCTGGCTGGATGCTTTCAGTCTTGAGTTGCTGGTTTTGTGGCCTTAAGACAAGGCACCGGAGTTCTCTGAATTTGTTTCTTCCTCTGTACAATGATGAGATCTTCCAGGCACGTCCAAGGGTGCCATGAGGCTCAGAGGAGGGTGGACGTCCATGAGTAATGGGGCGGGGGGTGCTTCTCCCTTGCTCCCCTCCCCCATATCCAGGTTCAAAAACGACCAGGCTAACTACTCGCTCAACACGGATGACCCGCTCATCTTCAAGTCCACGCTGGACACTGATTACCAGATGACCAAGCGCGACATGGGCTTCACCGAAGAGGAGTTTAAGAGACTGGTGAGTGGCTGAGAGCCTTAACTCTGGGCTGTGTGAGTGTGTGGCCTGCAGGTCCTGGAACCTCTGGAGAACTAGGGGTGAGTCTCAACAGGCCAGGCCAAGCCAGACCCAGAGTTTGAGGTCTTCCACAGAGAAGACATCTGTGGCTGAGATCCTGGCCTGGGACTGATTTTCTATCCTGTGTTTGGCTCTAGTGCCCTGAGAGACCCTCAATGCTGTCAGTCATCTCCCCAGAAAGGGGCTCAGCTCTACATCCTACATGTGGTTTGCAGGCCACTCCTGGACCCCAGGATGAGCCCTTGATTTCAGTGGTTCTGATACCCCCAGTTTGTCCCCGCAGGACTCTCTGGCCCCACACATCCTGCCCTGTCTTCAAAGGTTTCTCCAGCCTCCTTCCCGCATCTGTGTGTCACGTCCCATCACTTTAAGAACACAGACCCTCATGGTCTCTGCTCTGGCACTTGCTGCCTGTGACCCGGACAAGGGCTCCCCACACTGAGCTTAACAAATTGCCCGTGTTTAATGAAGAGGCTGGACTGTGACTAGATTGCCAAGGGCTCCCTTCCGTGCTGTCTGGTTTACATGCTGTCTGTCGTGCTGGCCCTTCCAGAACATCAATGCGGCAAAGTCCAGTTTCCTCCCTGAAGATGAGAAGAGGGAGCTCCTTGATCTGCTCTATAAGGCCTACGGGATGCCCTCTCCGGCCTCCGCAGGTATGTTTCTGGTGGACCTGCTGGGCTGGTGTCCTGCCCTGGCTCCCGCCTGGCTTCTGGGGGCTTCTAGCAGGATGCTCTCCACTCCTCTCTTGGGCAGCACCAAGGCTGGGTGATGACTCCCTGGCTGGTGGTATCCCCTCACAAGACCAGCTTATGTTCTGCATAAGGCTCTCATGAGACTGGTCTGGGGACAAGACTTTCTGAAACCCACTGCCAAAGGTCTCGGCAATCTGGGGCATCTCCAGGGCTGCCCAAGGTCAAGGGCAGGGAGTTGAGCCCAGGTCGCAGCTCTGTTCTGCTCCTTCCTTCCTCTGTGGCCTTGACAGAGCCTCCTTGCTCCAAGCCTCAGTCTCCCCATCTGTACAAAGGGATTCCTCTCTGGCTCTGATGTCCTGTGATTTTTTCTGTTTGTTTGTTTTTTTGATGTCCTAGATACTACAAGTTGACTAATCTTTTGCTTCTCTGACTTGTCAAGCAGAGCAGCGTCCGTGAAGACGCCGTGGCTACCTCTCCAAGTCCTGGCCCTGCGGATGGAGCCTTCACAGCTCCGGAGTCAAGCGACATCTTACCTTTACTCCTTCCAGGGAGACTGTGATTTCCAGAATCACCTACCGATGATCATGAAGCCCACGTGCCTCCTTCCACACACAAACATGCCTCGGCGGGGCCGTGGCTCCCCTCTGTGTGCCTGGGCCAGGGCAGGGCCTGGGGCAGGCTGAACCCGAATTCCTCCTCCTCTGGTGACTTCTGCTGAAAATCTGGTGCTCAATAAAGAAGCCAGCGGCTGGGGTCGTGCAGCCCCCGGTGTGTGCACTGCCGTCTGGGGCGGGCGACCTGGGCTTTGTAGAGAATGGAAGGGGCTTTGGGGCCCCCAGTCGCAGGCAGTCTGCCCAGCAGCAGTGTCCTGAGAGCCTGGCGGGGGTTATGAATGGGAAGAGGGAGGACAGAAAGGTTTCCAGAAAAAACCAGGCTTCTCCTGAAGAGTCAGTTTCTTAAATGCTCCCTGAACTCTTAACCACCTTCTACCCTAGGTCCTAAGGGGGAAACTTTCCTTTTGGGTTCCCATAGCTGTGAAGTGGGGTGGGAGAGGGTGAGGTGGAAGAGGACTCATCAGATACTGGGCCGAGGAGTGGCGGCTCTGTGGAACCCCGGCATCTTCTCAGCTACTTCCCAGGTACGCGGGAGCCTGGGGCAGCAGTGGGTCTCAGCTAGTCGTGGCCTTGGGGAAACAAGGCCCAGCTCCTGCTTTTTGCTGTTTACAGGAGAAACAGTCATCGTAAACCAGTCACACAAATCGTCAGCATTTATTTCCTGGGTTCTAGGTGTCACTTATCTTGGTAGAAAGGGCAGAGAGTTAATCAAGATGGTTTTGAGCACAAAAATCCCTTCCCTAAAAATGGATCTGTGAAGCTCCAGGAGGGAACCTCAGAGCTGCATAGATGGTCCAAGAGTTTAGCTCACAATGGCTTCCAAAAAAAAAAAAAGTAGATTGTCAGCTCCCTCCCTTCTCTGCTGAGAAAAGGTTGAAAGTTTCTAAAAAGTTTAAAAGTGCTTTTTAAAAAACGGGGTAAGAAGGTGTCCTGACTCAGAAGGCTGGAAAGGCTGGAGACAAGGGGGCTGAGCTGGGACGTGATCCCGCCCGGGCTGCTCACCCCTGGGGCCAGGACCCAGCCCCTGAGTCCCGGCACCTACTGAATAAATTACATCCTTGCGGTTACAGTGTCTTGAAATGTACCCGGGCGCGGGGGGAGGTGGTGGGGGCATGGAGCCTGGGGGTGCGGGCAGAGGGCCTTCCAGGGAGGGGGCCACGGGAGCCCCTGGGCCCGCCTTTCAGTCTGGCCCTGCTTGCCTGGAACACACTGCTCAAAGCAATGCCAGGGATCTGGGTTCACGGCGCAGCTCCCGTCCAGCCTCCTCGGGCAAGGTCACGTTCAAGATGAGGTGGTGCCATCGCTGCTCTTGGGCTGGCTGCTGGCTTCCTTGTCTGAGGTGCCCACCTCTGCCTGTCCTTCTGCAGAGGAGAGGGAGAGGGACATAGTCACAAACGTAAAGGGTAGAAGGTCTGGCGGGGCCTGGCCACAGCGGGAACAGTGTGGATAAGCCTGAGGAGCAGGACAGGAGCTGGACTGGGGTGGTGGCGGACAAAGGGAACTCTATCTGGGCCTGCATCCTTTTAATTTCTACAAAGGAAATGCATCTGCTGTTACTAGTATGCAGTGGTGGTAGTTTAGTCTAAGTCGTGTCTGACACTTGTTACTCCAGGGACTGTAGCCCGCCAGGCTCCTCTGTCCATGGGATTTCCCAGCCAAGAATACTGGAGTAGGTTGCCATTTCCCTCTCCCGGAGATCTTCCTAACCCAGAGATTGAACTTAGGTCTCCGGCATTGTAGGTGGGTTCTTTACCAACTAAGCCACAGGGGAATAATTAAAATCAATGAAGGGCCAGGATCATGGATGGATGCTATAAGCATCAGGTGAAGAGCTGTTGAGGGTCAGGATATTTGAGTGGGTTCTCCAGGGTTGGGGCGGCGGGGAGAGGGCATGTGAGGTTCTAGCATGTGACGGGTGTTCAGCAAATGGTAATTCTTACAAGACAGGGAAAAGGGCATCAGATGACGCTGGCTCAGGACTTCCCTGGTGGTCCAGTGGTTAAGACTCCATGCTCCTCATGCACAGGGCCCAAGTTCAATCCTTGGCCAAGGAACTAGATCCTATCAGCAGCAACTAAAAACATCAGCCAAAAAAAAAACATCGAAGATCCCACCTGCTGCAACTAAGACCCAGCACAGCCAAATAAATAAATATTTAAAAAATGAAGATGCCAACTCAGGGGAGCACCAAGGGTGGCCTGCAGAGGGTCTAGGGTGGAGCCTGAGGCTGTTTCATTGTGCTGTGTCCTCCCTAGACCACCCCTATCTCCCTCTCTGGGCCCCCCCGTCTTTGCATCCTTAGGCTGAGCCCTTTACAGGATGAAGGAGAAACTACCGTGTACCAGGATCCCTAGGCTGCAGGCTAACAAGTACTTTCCAGGTGATCACACAGCAGCCTGGAGGCATGATGAGGGTCATAATACGATTTGAGTAAGAAAAACTGAGGTTCAGAGGAGAAAATTGAGGCTCAGAGAGGTGAACTGAGTTGCCTGAGAGCCAAGCGGTGGAGGGAGCAGTGACCTTTCCCTTGACTGAAGCCGGTCCCTAAAGCATCTCTCTCTAGGGTTTATAAAGGCCCGTCACTGCTGCCACCTCTTTCTGCCCTGACAGCCGTCTTGGGGAATGGGGTGAGTGGTGGGGCAGGGATGTGGGAAGAACTTGGCCACCAGCCCCTCCGACCCCGCCTATCCTGGGGCGCTGCCTGCAGCAAAGACTTGGTCCCATAGGGTCCTCCTGGCCTGCCAGAAGCCCGACAAAGCAGCCAGCACTTGGGGCAGGTTTCCCAATGTGTGACACCCTGCTGGGTCCTAAGCCTCCCGCCCTGGCAAGCAGAACATTCTAGTCAGATTCCCAGGACCTGCTGTTTGGCCATGTCCTTGCTGGAGGGCCTCGGGCAACAGAGTTAACCTCTCTGAGCCTCTAATTCCTGATTCAGGAAGTGAGGATGACGACACCTCCAGCCCTCCGCAGTCGCCAGGCCCCCGGGGACAGCTTGCCCAGGGGTAAGGCTTCCCCTCTGCAGGTCCCAGCTCTCTTCTGGCCCAGACAGAAGGTCCCCAAGCCCCCCTGGAACGGACTCCCTTGGGGCCAGTTTCAGAGTATGATTTGGAAAATTTCCAGTCACATACTGCCAGGCGGTGCATTCGTATTCCTTCATGTCCTGCTTGGTTGTTTATGTCTCATTATTTGGCCAAGTAAGGAAACACTGGTGCTCCCCACAGAAGGAAACACGGGAGCAGACAAAGGTTTGCACACAAAGGGCTTGAGAAGCCTTAACACACGGATGACCTGGGGAAGCCTGGAGGCCAGGCCTTCAAGGACAGGTGAAAGCCTTGGTTCCTCCTCCCTCACCCGGGCTGGGCATCTGTCTCCCAGGAGATTTAAGCAAGCAGATGCTCCGGGGCCTTCAGCACCTGTAACCTCTGTAACCTAGTGAGTCCGCCGGACTGAGCACGCCTTGTAAGACTTGCAGGGGAAGCTGCTCGTTGCAGGGCCTACTAGAAGGTTCCCTGGCCACTCACTGTAGCCTGCACTCCACCAGGAGGGCTTCGCTGACTTGCAGCCAGCAGTACTCCTTCCTCAGGGCCCCTTCTTAACGGCCTGTCACCTGGGCAGACAGATGCCAAGACGCCCAGATAACCTCAGGGATTTCAAATCGGATGCGGGTGGGAGCAGGCAGGAGAGGGCCTGGGTTGGTGGATGAGCCGCTACACTGAGGTTGAGGGAGGCAGAAAACAGTCCAGCAGGCAGACGCAGAGGCCTGGCAGCCAGTCCCCTGGCCGCAGGCCCGGCGTGGCAGCTGGACGTGCTGGTCAGCGAACAGCCACCAACCAGGCACCCCTGATATGAACCAAACACTGCCAGGCCCCAAGAGGTCAGGATGCGGATCCCAGAGGATCTCTGGGCTCTGTGGGATCATGGAGGTGGCCAGAGAAGGTGCCTCCCCCTTCTGGGAGGGCGATGAAGTCAGAGGAGACTTCTCAGCAGAGCAGTCTGGGCTATAGAACAAAGAGGAACAGCCAGACTGGCATGGGGAGGCCAGGAAGGACCAGACAGGGAGAGTGCACGGAGGCCCACTGGGGATTTTCAAGAAACGGGAGTCCCTTCCTCAGCTGGATCAGAGGCACAGGGGAGAAAGATGGGCCTGGAGGCTGGAGGAGAGCAGGTTCAGACCCGGGGAGGCTCCAGAGCCTGGGGAGATAGGGCCGCAGGACGAGGGAGGGCTGACCACAGATGGATAGGATGGTGTGAGGATGGAGGGAGAGGCTCCTGGGGCAGCCAGGAATGGGGGGAGGACGTTCTAGCAGAGGAAACTGGGAGATGAAGGGGGCCAGGGGATGAACTGGAAGAAGCACGGTGGGACGGAGGCTATAGATGAATCCTGCTGGCAGCTGTCTGGGAGGAAGGCTGCGGTGAGGGTGGGCCAGGGAGGCCTGGGCAGAGGCTGCTGGGAGCAGCCTGAGCCCGGTGGTGGCCGTGGGGACAGAGAGGAGCAGAGGGACTGGGAGGGGAACCGACGGGGCCTGTGGATGGGCAGGGAGGCTGAGGGGCAAGGGAAGCGCTGGGATGCCTGGCCAGAGGGCATGAGGATGGCCTGAGATGCTGGCACCCTCCTGCCTGGGGACTGGCTGCCCTCCGCCACTGACCCTGGGCTGCGGGCCTGATTTAAAGGCAGTTTCTTCTCTGAGAAAGAGGGGGGCAGCCTGGGACTTAAGAGGCCAGCCCTGGAGCCCAGAAGTGGGTCTCCTGCCCCAGGTGCTCAAACCCAAGTGTGCCCGTGGGTTCCGACCTGCGCCCTCGAGGGCCAGCTCGCCCATGTCGCCAGCCAGCTTCCGCACGCTCACGGCCTCGGAGTCTCCCTGGATGTCAGGGACCGCATTCCGGCGGCCCGTCCGGTCACAGGAGATGAAGTCCGAGTAGGAGGACTCGACCTCCATCATGCCTGTCGCATCGCTCTTCAGGCCTGTGGAGGCAAGGGCAGGAGGGCAGAGGTGAGCCCAAGTGTATCCTGCAGAGAAGACCCAGCACTGGCGGCTTCTGACAAAATGACAACTGCTGCCTTGCTCATGGACCACAAAACAGAAAGCACAGGAAACTGCAAAGAACAAATTAAGTCATGCATAATTTTATACCCCCAGAGCTACCACTACCATTTTAAAGGACATCTTTTTTTTCCTCTAAAGTTCATGCTAACCCTCTACACATTTATCAACACCATGTACCAGGCACTGGCCAGGGGCCACAGATGCAGCAATGAACAAGTCAGCCCCAGTCCCTGCCCTCAGGGAGCTTACAGTCGGTTGGGTCATTTAGGGTAATTAATTTCTAACACCTAAGTTTTAGCCACAGTGCTCGGGGTTTGCAGGGAGAAAGCAGGGTGCCAGAGGAACAACCAGGGCCTGACCAAGGCTGGGGGACAGGAAATGATATTTTAGCTGAGATTCCAGGAGGGATAGGTAGAGGAGGAGTCTAGGATTGCAGAGAAGAGCACGTGCAAAGGCCCTGCGGAGGGAAGGCATGGTGGGTGTTAGAAATGCAAGGGCCGTGACACTGAGACGCCCAGGACACCGCTGAGCTGGGCAGGGCCCTGTTCGCATCTGCAGCTGCTCCCTCAGGACGATCAGATCAGCATTTTCAAAGATGACTCTGGCCCCTGGAGTGAGCAGGCCCAAAAGGGGGCCAGTTACGGTATGAGAAAGATGGTGGGTGAAGGAAGGAGGTGGTGATGGTCAGAAAGATTCTAGATGTGATCTGGTGGATCAATCACCAGGACTTGATGTGCAGCTGATGTTTCTGATGTGAATACTGCAGGTGGACAGAGGATGGCTTGTGAGACGCCGGGTGGGTGGGGAAGAAAGACGGGTAATTAGGCTTTATCACTACAGTCAAAGTGAAAGAGGTAGTGGCTCAGTCATGTCAGACTCTTCGTGACCCCATGGACTGGAGCCCACCAGGCTCCTCTGTCCATGGGATTCTCCAGCAAGAATACTGGAGTGGACAATCATTCCCTTCTTCAGGGGATCTTTCCAACCCCAGAACTGAACCTGGGTCTCCTACACTGCAGGTGGATTCTTCACTGAGCCACCAAAGAAGCCCTGTTGTTACCGACACGGTTACAGAGACGGTGGTCAACAGCCCTGCTGGTTGATTCTACAGCTGAGAGAGAGGAGAGCCACATATATAAAGAACCACATGCATGTGAACAAAGACCTGGAGATCATAGTATAGTATGCTGTCTTTTATAGTTTACTGTTGGAAACTCCCTAAAGCATGTCCTGAAGGTTCTCTATAGATGATTTTTGCACATGTGCTTGGGTATATCATAAAATTTTTGAAGAGTCCCCCTAGACATGAACACATCCCTGCTGGCTCAGACAGTAAAGCGTCTGACTGCAACACAGGAGACCCAGGTTTGATCCCTGGGTCAGGAAGATCCCCTGGAGAAGGGCATGGCAACCCACTCCAGTGTTCTTGCCTGGAGAATCCCATGGACAGAGGAGCCTGGCGGGCTCCAGTCCATGCGGTTGCAAAGAATCAGAAACAACTTAGCGACTAAACAACAACAAATAGGCAGCACTAGGTCTTTATGTAAATATTTCAGCCTATGTCTAGCTATTTCTTTAGAGTACATTCCTAGAAGTAGAATTGCTAAGCTAAAGGGAAGGGTGAAATAATGTTTAAGACACAATATTTTGACACATTTGCCTTCCTGAATGACATAATGGTATTTATAATAACCGAAAAAGATGAGTAAATAAAACTCATAAGTTCAGTTCTGTTCCTATTTATATTCCCACCAGCAGCCTGTAAAACTGTCCATTTATCTGCACCCTTGTCAAGAATGGATACTGCTATTATATATATATTTTAAAAGGTTAATCTGCTTAGGGAATAGAAGTATCTCCCTTTGAGCACTGATGATTTTCTGAAGGCAATCAAATCACACAGTCACCACAGGGATTCTGGCCACTGGGCAGACCCTGAGTTAGGAAGCGGGGGTTGGGGGGGGTGGGGTCTAAGACACTGGCCTGACCATAGGAGTTCACAGTACTCTAGTTGAGATGGGCCCAGCAAATCCCAGTTCCAGACATATGAAGGCAAATGCCAACGCTCTTCATAGTGTGAGGATGTTTACTGTACACGGTCAGTGACAGGGAAGCTCCCAAATGTCCCTGAAAAGGCTAGGCATTGCATGAATTATAGAGTATTCAAAAAATAACCTATACTGGGTGGACACATACTGATGGCAAAGTGTCAGAGATAAACTATTAGCTGAAAAATTCAGGAACGTTCTTGGTGGTCCAGGGGTTAAGACTCAGCCTTCTGAAGCACGGGGTGTGGGTTAGACCCCTGGTCCGGGAGTTAAGATTCCCACATGCCTCACAGCCAAAAAGCCAAAACATACAACAGAAACAATATTGTAACAAATTCAACGAAAACTTTAAAAATGGTCCACCTCAAAAAAAATATTAAAAAAAGAGAAAAATTCAGATTGCAACACCTTAGAGAAAACTCAGTTTCAGCTCATACAACTCAACAACACCAAAAGAAAAACAACCCAATCGAAAAATGGGCAGAAGACCTATACCAACATTTCCCCAAAGAAGACATGCAGAGAGCCAATAGACATGTGAAAAGATGCTCAAAATCACTAATTATTAGAGAAATGCAAATCAGAACTACGAGGTACCACCTCACAGAGGGTATGGAGAAAAAGGAACCCTCCTACACTGTTGGTGGGAATGTAACTTGGTTCAGCCACTGTGGAAAACAGTATGGAGGTTCCTCAGAAAACTGATATGATCCAGCAATCCCGCTCCTAAGCATATATCCAGACAAAACTCCAATTCAAAAAGATGCATGAATTCCTATGTTCATAGCAGCACTACTCACAACAGTCAAGACGTTGGAGACAAACTCCATCTCCATTAACAGGTGAGTGGATAAAGGTGTGGTACATACTCACAATGGAATACTGCTCACCCATAAAAGAGAATGAAATAATGCCATTTGCAGCAACATGGATGCAACCAGAGATGATCATAGTAACTGAAGTGAGTCAGAAAGGCAAATACTATGTATGCTATCACTTATATGTAGAATCTAAAATATGACACAAATGAACCTACCTACACAACAGAAGCAGAAACAGAGAACAGAGCAGTGATTGCCAAGGGGAGGGGGCTGGGAGGGACAGAGTGGAAGGTTGGGGTTGGCAGATACAAGTTTTTATACATAGAATGGATAAACCAGGTCTCACTGTATAGCACAGAGAACTATATTCAATATCCTGTGATTAACCATAATGGAAAAGAATATAAAAAACAATGTATATGTGCGTGTGTATGTATAACTGAATCACTCTGCTGTATAGAAATAATTTAAAAAATATTGTACATCAACCACACTTCAATTTAAAAAAAAAAGAAAGAAAGATAACCCAGTTTCTGTGGAGAACAGAAAGATACAAGAAAAACACCTTGCCGAATGTGGTACTTTGTGACGAAGCGGAACTTCCACGCCTAAGACTAAATTTTTTATAACGGAAGGAGTTTGTATAAGCCCAACTCATTGTGCAATGCTTTCAGAAAGTAACCGACGTTGGCAGGAAGCTCCCGGAAAGCGCCCAGGGTGGGGCTCAGTAAGTGGTGTGTGTGTGTGTGTGAGAGAGAGAGAGAGAAAGAGAGAAAAGAGGGACTGGTCAGTATGGAGGGCTGCACCCACATCTCCCCACAACCCCAGGCTGAGAAGAGACACCTGGAGAATGAATGAGGAGGAGACAGGGAGGCATCCTGCAGTAGGAAGAGTAAAGAAAAAGACACGTGACCTGTTCTGCTGTCAGACCTTGAGCAAGATTGCCCCCTCTGGGCCTCCAGGTCTGTAAAAGAATGAAGGATGGGTCAGAATTCCAAGGCAATCCCCACAGCTCCAGCAGGGGGCGCACCAAGCCAATTTTTCTAAGCTGCCTTGAAAGAAAGAAGTTGCCCTAGTTGTGTTGCTGGCTGCTTCTTGGCCAAAAAAAAAAAACCAACTCCAGACTCTGAATCTGCCAAGAGATGGTTCTTCCGTAGGTCACGGAAGGTTCACTCCTACACTCTCCCTCTGGGGAAACTGCTGAAAGCTCCAGAACTGGGGAGTGGCCTGTGGTAATGACAGCAATAACAGAATAAAATTTATAATGATAGGTCTAACCACAATAGTAAAAGCAACAGTAATCAAATCATTACGTTTCCTGTACCTCGCTTACTAAATTTCCACAGCAGCCTCTGAGGTCTGTGAGGTGAGTTGATCACCACGACCTGGGAAGGTCTGTTTCAGGTGGCAGGACCCATACCTGCCAGAGGGAGGGAGACCCTGGGCAGGCCACACCAGCTCCCAAGCCCCGGCTCCTCGGGGCTTTTCCCCCAACTAGGATGTGGGCTCCACGAGAACCGGTATTTCTGTCTGGGTTTTCACCAGGCCAGGCCAAAAGGCCTAACCCCAGCAGCTGAACCACATGCTCTGGGTGCTCCATCTTCAGCTTCTCGCCCAGGGCCTGGCAAACAGTAGGTGCTCAGGAAACACTTGTCAGATTAAATCTGAGTCTGTCCATCACTCTATTTCCTCTCCAGCCCTCTTTCCCTGCCTGTGGGAACCAGCGGGAAAGGCCTCTGTTGGCCGTAGACGGCTGTGCTGATGTTCCTGTCCAGGTCTCCAGTATCTGACACTGTGGGACGGATGGAGTTACAGGCTCCATCAGAAAGGCCAGCGCCCTGCTCGAACTGGCACCCTGGGGCTTTGGCTCCTGCCCTTGCCCAGCTGACCTTACAAGCTGCCCAGAGCAGGAGGCCAACCTCCCTGGCTCAGAGAGGGAAGTGTGCCCAGCTCAAAGGCCAATCCTGGAAGACGCCAACCGCCACCAGCGTGCTCCGGCTGCCTCCCCGCTTCCACTTCAGCAGGGATAGGTCTAGGGAACACACTATT